GCCCTGTGAATCTGCTCCAGGTTCTTCTGGAAGTGGGCAGGGAGGAGGTGCAGATGGAGGCCCCGCAGAGCCAGTGCCGCCTGTATTTAGCAACTGGTGCTAGGTTCAAGTGAGCACTCACTAGGTGTGGGGCTTCCTTGGGCAAGAGGGGTTGGGTGGCTCAGTTTCAGGCCATCTCCTCAAGCAGACGTGCATGAGCAGATGAGGCACAAACTGCAGAGATGGGCAGATGTGGTCGGTCTTGATTCTGTGTCGACAGGTAACTTCGGACAAATCACTCTGTGAGCCTCAGTTTCCCATGGCTCAGTTGGGAATATATCATTTACCCTAGAAGGCTGCTGATGACATTGCTTTTCTCCCTTCCCATTCCCTTACAAGAAGATTCCAAATGGTCACTCTAGGCGAGGCCCAAGGAGATCCCCTTGGTACCCAAACTTGCTTTCCCCAGTTCATTTCGGTCAGTGTCCAAAATACGGTTCTGAATGCATCACCTGCTGCTTGCAGCAAAAAAACACACGTTTCTTAGTAAGGCATTCAAGAAATCTGAAACTTTTTAATAGAGTCTCCACCCCCATTCATCCATCCGGCCATCTGGCTGGCTGTCTTTCATCTCTGTGTTCAGCCACTTACTCACTCAACAAACGCTCATTTCTTGTCTCATCTCTCCTCCTCCTTTTCTTTCTTCTTATGCTCAGTCTCTCCAAATGGCCGGCTTGCTTGACCTCATGGTTGTGTGAACAGGCTCTTCCTTCTGTTCAGCGGGTGGTGGGGTGGGATGCTCCCCTCCTTTGCCCCCTTTTTCTTCTCCCTTCATGAAGCCTCCTGCCTTATCAGCTATCCTTCTGGTCTTCCACTCTTAATGGCTTATCTTTTGCTGGGACATGTATTCCATAGCATTGTTTTTGTGTCTGTCTGTGACCCACTGACCTCTACTCTACTCCAGCAGAGTGGCCTCTTCGTACAGTTGTTTAGGTTGCGCACTGCACGGGAACACCAAGCTGAGGAATGTGTCCTAATGTGGGGGCTATACCTCCCCAGAGGGAAGAGTGTTTTTTCTAATTCATACAAAGGTACCTGTTCTCAAAGTGATGAGCTCAAGTGGCTGAGCCCACCCAGAGGGGGCACCTTTTTCTGTTTCCTGCTCAGGGGTTCTTTGAGCGAGTGGTGGCCTTGCCGTGATTCTAAGTCTCTGTAGGCCGGGACCACATTGGCTTCATCCACGTTCCCCTAGCTCCTAGCATAGCAGTGCCAGGCCCCAGAGACCTCCAGAAATGTTCCTGGACTTGAAAGGAGAAGGCTTTCAGTAGTGAATCTCTGTTCTCTAAGCCTTGGAAGGGCAAGACTCATGCCTATCTTGTGGGGAGACGAGGCTTCCGAGTTGATGCAGTGGCGGTGGCAGGTTTGTTTGGAAATTCCCCCAGTAAGTGGTGTTCTGGGCCTGTCTCCCGGGGTCCTCGAGAGCTTGCTGGAAGACCTGCACGCCAGGGCTCCTCCAAATATGTTTTTAAACTGATTGATGCCACGCCAGGCAGGGAAGGGACAGGCATTTTTCATACATGAAAAACAATACATTCTGGGGCCAAGATGAAATTATTTTACATTTATACGATAACAGGCAGGGAGACAAAGACGATGTTTGAGGATGTTTAAACCCTCAAAATCATTAGTCACTGTCCCAACGGGCTACACAAATAAATGATCAATGCACAGAAAAACAAGGCCCTCTGAGGTGTTTGCCCAAGACCACTTATGTGTCAAACAGACTTATTAGATGTGAAGGGAATGATTATTTGTACAAAGTGAAATGAACATGTGCAATAATATTGTAAAATGTTTATTAGTCTAGAGTGTGCTGAATGTTCCTAAAATATATCAGGTTCTCAGCTTGCATTTAATGTACTGTTATAAATGATATCACATCCTTCCAAGCCGATTTTCCGCTTTACGCTAAGCTTCTTTGCTGGGGAAATCGTGTTTTCAGATCCCAAGTATGAAAACATTGTGGGGTTAAACTCTCCCTTCTACTCCCTAACCCCCACCCCAGTCAGTTACCTCCCTATAAAACTTGTCCTGAGTCTGGCTGGGAGGGAAAGGGCAGTTGGTCAGGCCAGATGGTGGTTGGAAAAGGAAAAGGGGGTGAATGAGTTATTGTGGTGGGGACGTTAGGCTGGAAGTCCAGCGATTCCGATTTCAAGATCTGCTCATTAATCTCCTGCTGTGTGACCTTGGGGTGGTCCCTTCCCCTCTCTGGGCCTTAATAATCTCCATCGGAAAATGAGAATAATGTCTAAAGAAACTCCCGGAGCTAAACATTTACATATTCTAAATCCCACAAGTCGTGAGTCTGAAAGATAAAAAGAGATTCTGGAAGTGAACAAATAAAGTGCTATAGAAAAGTTCTTAATTTTTTTTCTACGATTCTGGCCAATTCTTACCCTTTATGGCCCTGACCAAATGTCCCCTCCTCTGGGAAGCCTCTGACCCCCTAAGCAGCCAGTCAGACTGTCCTCTTTGCTCTAACAGTGCCAAACCCTCATGTCCTTATTGCCCTGCCAGCTCGCGGTATCGCCACATCTCTCTCTCTGTGTGAACAGGCTCTTCCTTCTGGTCAGCGGGGAAAGCTCTGAAGGAAGGAGAAAGTGGCCTCGTTCTCCGCTCTGCTTAGACCAGCAGGACTCTCCTCCCTTGACTGCCTCCATGGATGCAGCCTCTGAGCTGGCCAGCTTCCTGGCATGGATGTGCAGCTGTCGGCTTGCTCTGAACTGAGGTCCCCAAAAGATCCCCAGACCTGGGCCAGGCGCAGAGCTGGTACTCAGGAAATCGTTAGTGGCTGCTGGATGGCAGGGAGCTGAGCTGGTATGACCTTTGGAGGGTATCCCTCACCTACCTGCATGTTAAAGATGGGAATTTCATCCCAGAGTAGGGAAGGGATTGGTTTAGGGGCTACTCAGGCATCTTAGAGAAGGGTCAGAGAGAATGTTTCCCATAACATGTCAACTCCCCACCCGAAAAGGAGGGGTAGAGGAACCCAGCCAAATCCATGGCCTTGGACCTGAATGGGGGTGGGAGGTATTGGTAGTGGGAGTGGGAGGTATTGGTAGCTCTTGGCATCAGCTAAGAGCACAGGGCTGGCTTTGGAGGTTGTGGAGGTGCTTGGGGACATGGGGGGTTTCCAGTTTCTGGCTGAGTCACATCCCCCTCCTTTCCCCTGCCCCCCAAGGTTTGCTCAAGGGCCCCCTGGAGGGTGATCTTCTGTGAGCTCAACTGATGGTCTGGGGATCTTTTGGGGACCTCAGTTCAGAGCAAGCCGACAGCTGCACATCCATGCCAGGAAGCTGGCCAGCTCACCGGCTGCGTTCATGGAGGCAGACGACTCGTTGAGGGAGGAGAGTCCTGCTGGTCTAAGCAGAGCAGAGAATGAAGCCACTTTCTCCTTCCGTCACAGCTTTCCCCAGAGAAGACTGAAAGCAATCTCTATGGAAATATATACTAAAACATGGGAAAATACAGTTAGGGGTAGGCATTCAAGACAAAGATTAAAGAGTGGAGGAAGGCAGGGTGGATGCTGGAGTGAGGCTCCGAAGCAGCGATCCTGCCCTGAGGTGGGCCCTGTGTGCTGTGGAGGCAGGTCATTGTGTCACTCCAGGCTTCCGGCAGAGGGGACACAAGCAGGTATGTGATTTATTGTGCCCACGAGATAAACACAGGACCTTTGCTTGGAAAAAGTGCTGGTCCCTTGGTTTCAGGCTAGAGAAAAAAGTCTCCTGTGATTTTTTGAAAAGGGGCACACAGTGTCCCCAGCAGCTGCCTGTCAGCAGCAGAAGCTGGCTTTTCCTCCCTCTGCATCCCTTCTCCTTATTTTTTTGCTCCACCTTCTCTGCTTTCCCCTCCTGGTCTCATCCTTCCGCGTCTTTTCACAGAGTTTAGTAAGGCAGTCCTTGGAATACAAAAAGAAGTGTTCCCGTTTAAGTTGAACCCCAGGTAACTGTTCGGGTGCTTGGGGTAAGGAGATAGCCAGTCCCCAGCACGAACTTCAGGCAGCCTGGGCAAGTGTTTTCGCCACCATAGCAGGGGGCAGTGGTGAGTTCAAGGTTGTCCCTACTGAAGTGCAGTGGCGTATTGAGCATCTGGTAAAGAGTGCCTTCTACGTGCCGGGCATTTATTGGGTACACCTTACATGACCTCAGTTAATCCTCACAACCTCCATTCAAGGTGGTTCTTCTGATTCTCAAGGTCACAGGCAGAATACAGAAGAGCTGGTTTTGGCACCAGGTCCTTGCACTCCCAGGCTGGCTCCTGGCAGCCCCACTCCTGTCTCACCGTAGGACTCTGGGCGTTCTACGGTCCCGACTCTTGATTTTCTCATCTGTCCATGAAGGCCATGTGTCCCTGAGAATCCCTTCACTTGGATGGTCTGAGTAGCTGAGTCCCCCTTTGCAGTGGGCTCAGGTAGGCATTTGGGGTGCACAGGGACTACCTCTTGTTTTACCCTAAATAACTCCTCACCTTTGCCCCTTGGGCAGAGGCTCCTCCTGCCGGTTGCCCTTAGAACTTGTCCCTGGATTGGGCTTCTTCCCCAAACTGCCTTCCCAGAGAGACTGAGGCTTACGTGGCATGTGCATTACCTCAAGCAGGGATGGAACCTCAAGGTTTAGCAACTGAATCAACTTCTTAGGCTGCTGTGGATGGGCCAGGCTAGGTGATGGAGTGGATTAGGGATTGGGATAGAATATTCTCTTGCTTTAAACCTCACTAATTACACTGCAGTCCAAATTCCTTGCCATGCCCCTGCGTGACTGGGCTCCTGCTTCCCCTCTGACCTTACTTCCTCCTACTCCCACAGGGTACTCAGCATTCCCTCACATTAAGACAGCCCTTACAGCCTCCATGTTAGTGAAGGCTACCCAAGCTGCTGCAATTGATCCAGCTCCCACATTTCTGTGGCTTAACCCGACAGTTGGCTTCTTGCTCATGTTGAGTCTAGTTGCTCCAGGGCAATCATGGCACATCATGGCCTCACGGTGCCTCTCATCATGATAAGTATGTTCTGGGGCTTCGTCAGTTTCTTCGTTTCCTGGTTCATCCCTAAGAGTCTTAGCAGGGTAGTTATCATCATCCTGTTGGTGACCTATTCAATTTGCTGCTCTTTTTTTTTTTTTTTCTTTTGAGATAGGGTCTCACTCTGTTGCTTAGGCTGCAGTGTAGTGATGTGATCTTGGCTCACTGCGGCCTCAACCTCCCAGGCTCAGGATCCCTATCCCACCTTAGTTTCTTGGGTAGCTGGGACAACATACCACCATGGCTGGCTAAATTTTTGGTATTTTATGTAGAGATGGCGTTTTACCATGTTGCCCAGGCTGGTCTTGAACGCCTGGGCTCAAGTGTTCCTCTCACTTCTGCCTCCCAAAGTGCTGAGATTACAGGTGTGGGCCACCGCACCCAGCTACTGCTGTCTCTTTCGGCTGATTGCAATTCTTTCTCATCTCAGTCCTCTCTTTGGACCACAGTTGGAAAATGAAACCAGCTGGTATCTGAAGCATTATTTCCTTGAGGAAGAAGACATGCTCTATAGTGCTAGCCGCTGAGGTTACGAGAAGAGAATTCCTTCTAGATGCAAAATCTCCTCCAGATGGAAACCTTCTTTCTTGACTTTCCTGTTTCCGGCATCAGCTGCCTTAAATGGTGGCACCATATCTGAGTATCTTGTCCTATTTCTTCCTTCACTTTTTTTACACTTTGACTTATGTGTCTACCTAACCTAAGCTGTACTGATGCCACGAAATGTTTATGCACTCTTCTGAGAGATGATGCTTTTCTGAAACTATTTTATTATCTCCTTGGAATCTGTGGATTTGAAGATGGCGACTGTCTTCTCGTAACATGGGAATCAGGGAAGCATTTAAAAACTGCTGCAAGATAAACAAGACTCCAATGGGCAGCCAGTAGGAGAGCATGCTCGGAGAGAGGCTGTTTCACCACACAGTTAACACCAAAGTATATTTTCAGGATGAACTTCTTACCTCTTCCATCTCTTGGAATAAAATATTTTTCTGCTTCCAGAATAAAACAAAGTCTAATGCAAGTGTTCTTGCTCCATGTGGTGATTCAGGGACCCAGAGGCCTTGCATTTGGTGGCTCTGCCATCTGCTGGGGTGCTGGTCCTCTGTGCTCAGCTGCTGGGGGCAGGGAGCAGAGGCATAGAAGACCACAAGGGGGGGTTTTCTGACTTGAGAGTGGTCCTTCATAGAACCTAGTCATGTGGCCACATCTAACTGCAAGGAAGGCTGCGGAATACAGTCCAGCTGTGCACCCAGGATAAAGTACAAATGTGTTTGGTGAACAGCTAGTTTGTTCCTGCTGTAGCCTCAGAAACCTTTTGCTTTACCTCCACCAGGCCTGAGGGATGGGCAGCAGAACTAGCAGCCCCATGTTGCAGATGAAGAAACAAGGCTCAGACAGGCTGTTCACCTTGCCCAAGGCCACACAGTGAGTTGGTGTCAGAGATCATGTCTCTTGGCCTAGATCCTGAGCTGCTTCAGCTGGAAGCAGCCTGGCCTCCCCACCCTGAGCATCCCCCACTGGCCTGGCACTCCCCTGAGGCCCTTACCAATCTCCACCTTGTGTCAGAAGTCACCAGGGACCTGGTATTTTCTGGTCCAGGGGTGAGCTTCTGCGGGGTGTTTGTACCTGCAGTACGCATCTAGCTCAGTCCATGGAGTGGGGCCTGGTATGGGCATAGCACGGAAGACTGAGCATGGAGAGGCTTGCTAAAACCTCAGAAGGGCTGAGAGGTCAATGAGAGGAAGACGAGCGAATGGGTGACAAGTGAACTTGCTGAGCAGTGACTGTGACATCCACAGCACTCTGCTACTGAAGTCCGCCTCTCCCCACCACCCACCAAACCCTGGCAGCATCAAATCCCGGTTCCAGCCTGCGCTCATGATTGCGCCCCTCCAGCGGCCCCTTCCTGTCCCATCTCCCACTGTGCTGCAGCCACAAGGGCCTGCCCAGGTGTTCCTGCCTGGGCCGAGGACTTCTGTGGCCCCTCCAGGGGCACAATCACCTTCTTCCAAACAGCTCTGTGCCTGAGGCTGAACTGTGTGTCCCATCAGTGGGCTCTGTGGAGTCAGGCCTCCGATTAGGTTTGGGCACTGTGAGGCACCCACAGAGACAGCAGTGGTATGGGTCAGGGCCTTTATTCCCACAGTTCTCTCCCTATAGGTGTCTGGGGCTGGTGCCTCTAGCAGAGGCCATCACTCCTCCCAAGGAAGCCGACTCCAAGTGCCAGCTCTCACTCCTTCCCCTCTTCCCTTCGGGGTGATAACAGTTCTGTGGCTCCTGGTCCAAGGCTACTGCTCTATTCCTTGTGTTTCTTTCACAATAGCCTCAATGTAAAGAATCTCTCCTTGAATCCCTCCCTCCCTCCCTCCCTCCCTCCCTCCCTCCCTTCCTTCCTTCCTTCCTTTCTTCCTTCTTCCGTCCTTCCTTCCTTCCTTTTTTTTTTTTTTTTGAGACAGAGTCTCACTGTGTCACCCAGGCTGGAATGTAGTAGCATGATCTTGGCTCACTGCAGCCTTCACCTTCAGGGTTAAAGTGATTCTCATGCCTCAGCCTCCCAAGTAGCTGGGATTACAGGCATGTGCTACAATACCTGGCTAAGTTTTATTTTTCTTTCATAGAGATGGGATTTCACCATGTTGACCAGGCTGGTCTCAAACTCCTGACCTCAGGCAATTTGCCCACCTCGACCTCCCAGTGTTCTGGGATTACGAGCGTGAACCACCGTGCCTGGCCTGAATTCTCCTGTCTGTGGTGTGCTCCTGTTTCCTGCTGGGATGCCAGCCTGCACCTCTCATCTGAGGGCCTCTTACTTGCTGTTCCCACTGCCTGGTGTGCTCTTCCCTCAGGTCTTTATATGGGCAACTACTTTTCAGCTCTAAGAGCTCAGCCTTACTGCCATTTTCTCAGAAGACTTTCCCAGAGAGAGGAGTCACCTCTAGCCAAAGGTGTCCCCGTCACCCCGGCTGTTCTCAATCGCATAGCCCTAGATGATTTTCTTCCTTGTATTTGCCAGTGTTTGCAAGGTTTGTCTGGCCTTCTTCTCTGGAATGCAAGTTGCATGAGGGTGAGGTTTTTATCCGTCTTGTTTTCTTCTGTATCCCCCAAGCCTGGGATGGTGTCTAGCACCTAGTAGGTATTTATTGTAAATGTTTACTGAATTTGTAAATGAAACAGATTCAATATGTAAACCAGCGAGTAGCATAAATGAATGAACGAACGCATAGATTGGCAAGTAACTCATCTGAATGAACGGATGAATGAATTGGGCAAATGTGTAACAAATGAATGAACACACTGACAGAGACAGGCACCTAGGGAGAATGCCATGTGAAGATGAAGGCAGGGATTGGGGTGATGCCTCCTCAAGCCCAGGACTCCAAAGATTGCCGGCAAGCCCCCAGAAGCTGGGGGAGAGGCAAGGAACAGATTCTTTCTTATAGCCTCGGAAGGAACCCACCATGCCCATACCTGGATTTTGGACTTCTAGCCTCCAAAACTGTGGGACAATCCATTTCTGTTTGTGAAGCCACCCAGTCTGTAGTGCTTTTTATGGCAGCCCGAGCAAAGGCATAAACTGTGTTTAGTCTTCAGGCTTCTAAAGCTTTAGAGGTGATGGCCTAGAGTGTACAGGCGGCAAGAGAGTGGGCTGGCGGCTGGGGACAGCCTCAGATCTGCCGCTGACTTGCTGGGCTAGTCTTCCTGCCTGCGAACTGAGGGGGTGGGACTGCGAGATTTCTAGAGTCTTTCCCAGCCCTGACTTTTCCTACTTGAGGAGCTGTAAAGAGGAGGCCAAGCAAGGTCAGGTGGCACAACGCAGGTCACCCGGAGGGTTAATGGGACGTGGTCCCAGGAACAGCCTCTTGACAATTGCATGATGATTGCTCCTTTGCCCGAAATGCCTTCCAGCAGAATCTACAGCAAGCCTGACCTTCTCTGATCCTCTGTTATCCACCCCTGAGTGGCCCTGGTGCTGTGTGGGTCTGATGAGGCCCTGGCTATTTGGAAAGGCGGCTTCCTGCAGGAGGGAGTATGAGGAGGGCCCTGCTGGTGTCCTGTGAGTTCTTACACTGCCTCCCTAGGCTGGCTAGATAGAAGGCAGAGGCCTGGGACCCACTGTGCAGTGGCATAATATGTCTTTGTCTGGCCAAGGCTTCTGGGGATCATGGAGGCTGATCACATATCCATCCTTCTCCAGTATTTCCTTGGAGTCCCTGGCAGGAGGCTCAATGTCCTGGCGGGCCTGCTGACTCCCCTTCCTGTCTTCCTCTGATGCCTTCTTAGAATCAGCCCAGGGACTCAGGCTGGTCCACACCAAATGGAAGGCAGCATTTAAAAACAAACGGTTTGCAGTTGTCAAATTGTTGCTGAGTGGCCTTCTGGCTCCCTTGCCTTTCAGAGTCTGAGTGTATCCAAGGTAGGTCTACAGTTAGGTACTGCAAGGCTCTGTCCTCACTGGGCTGCTGGGCTGCTTTTGGTTGTGTTTCATGGAGCTGGAGCGAGAGTAGAGATGCTGGTTGGCTGAAAGCGATGCACAAAGATTCAGTGTTTGAAAACATGGATCTTAAAAATGACAATTTGAGTATAGGGCGGTGAGTCCTGTTTCACAGGTTTTGTTTGAAAAAAATCTGGAGGTCATAGTGGCACCCAAGCTCAGTGCAAGATGACAATGCCAGAGTAAGGAAGCACCACTGAGGCTGCCTTAATGGTGCTCTGCGAGGAGGTAGCAAGTCTGTTGTCTCCAACTCATCTGATGAGCTATTTACCCAACACAGAATTCTGGCTGCAAGCCTCCAGTGACTGAGAGTTCTCTCTTGCTGGCTTGTAGTAGTTTTGTCAAAGATCTTCTTTGTATTCTGCTTCCTTGTAATTTTATTCAGAAACGTTTTCAAGTACATACTGGGTGCCATACTGTTTTTCTCTCTGTGACACTCATTAAGCTTATCTACCCCACCTGTCCACTGAAAGTCTGTGATTTCTAGGCAGTGACCCCATCTTTCATGCCTTGTCTGCCCTAGAAAGGACAGCCATTCCTCCTACATCAGTTTTTCCCAGGACATGGCTTGATGAACCTTTCCCTCCTGGCTGTGGCTCCCTTTATTATTCACCTATTAACCTTGACCTTGAACTCCACGTGGAGCCTGCTGAGACCATCATCTTCGTGCCCTGAGATGCCACTCCTATTGTGGAAACAGAGGTGGGAGGCCCAAGTACTGTGAACCTCTAAGCCTCACTGACCAGAACTTCTAACCTTGGATGTTTCTTCAGCAATGGCTCGCTGGTCCTTGCCTGAAGGGACTTGCATGAAAACACACACTGAATTAGAGAGCTGGGCCCTCTTTCAGCCCCATCCTGGCTACACCCTTTCCTCTTCTCTTCCTCCAGAAATGACTCTTTCCCTTGGCTCCCTGATTAGGGCTTTCCAGTTTCAACCTATCTACACTGCAAAGGGTTAATAACTTGGAGTGTACAAAGCCCAGCTCAGACAGTCTCTTTCTGTCTCTGTGACTCGGTTTCCCTATGTGTA